GGGTTCTCCTTTGGGCAAAGGAGTCAAGGCATATGAGTCAGTCCCAGGGATTGATGGGGGAGCAGAAAGGAACTGGATGATCCAGTAAGGAAGAAATGGCAGAGCAAGCGGAACAGAACCCAGGCTTCCCAGCTCCCACCGCCTAAACTGTCCCCGTTCACACGTCATCCCACACACAGTGTTTAGACAGAGCAGCAAAGAAGAAACACAGACATCCTGGATCCCTCAGGGAGGAGGCCAGGGCTGGGAACAGAAGGAGGTCTGTTTATTCCTGGCAGTCCAATATCCGAGGGGCCCCACACCCACTTCTGTCCAGACTCCAGGATGAACTCTCCCAGAGCCTCTGACTTCTGCCTGACAGCGTGGAGCTGAGGACCATCTGCTGGAACCCAGTGTCCTCCGCCCACCAGCTCCCTTGAGGATGGGTTTCAGGCGAGATGCTTTCCTCTACACACTTTTCGTCCCAACAGAAGTCCTGCCTTTCCAGGATCCTCCAACCCTTCAACCCTGGTCTCCCCCAGAAAGCCCCAAAGTCCCCTTGCTCCATCCACTTGTGCTCTTGAGCAAGGAAGTGTTTCTTAATGTCTCACCTCCAGCTTTCTTGCTGCAGTTTTAGCCCGTTCCCTCCCATTTCAGGTTTTAGGGAGTATAACTGGCTTCTCTCCCTCACCCCAAAGCCACCCTTGATACAATGTAGAAATGGGGGCACAACACTCTTGGCTTTCTAGCCCTAAACTTGCCCTTCCTGTCACTGTACAGTCATGCACTACAAAAAGACATTTTGGCCCTGGTTGGTGTGGCTCTGTTGAGTGTTGTCCAGTGTATCAAAGGGTCTCCAGTTCAATTCCAGGTCATGGCATATGCCCAGGTTGGGAGTTTGGCCCATCAGGGTGCATGCAGGAGGCAACCAATGTTGTTTCTCTGTTGCATCAATGTTCCTCTCTCCCTTCCTCTCTCTCTGGAATCAATAAAAGCATTTTAAAAAAAAAGACATTTTGGTCATTGAAAGTCTGCATATGGGACCATGGTCCCATAGGATTATGCAGATGTAAAATTCCTATCTTCTAGTGATGTAGCAAAACGCATTACACAAATACTTACCATTGTGTTACAATTGCCTACAGTATCCAGAACAGTAACATGCTGTTCTGGTTTATAGCCTGGGAGATGTAAGGGAACAGAATTGGTCACCCCAAATACATCTCTTTAGCATAAGGATTATTTTAGGCTGGTTAATTTTAAGAAACTCTCCAACTTGGAAGAAGCTCTGAAAACCAAGTAGAAGTTACTCTTTGTAAGAGATAATTGTGCTTGTAAGGAAAATTTCCATTTGTAAGAGTGTCTCCCTCACTCTCAGTGTCTACCAGGAAGAGGAGAATGACCTTATCTCTAGAAGGTCTTACAGTGTAGAAGACCATGACTTAAATCTGTATAATAACCTTACCCCTTGTTTACTGCACCTTCCCCCCACACCCAACATCTTTTGTCTTAATCTGCAGATGGTATTTAAGGTGTTGGCTTCAGGCATTTTGGTGAGTTACTCAGTTTCCCTGGGTAGCTCCCATGTGTACAGTAGGTATGCCTGTTATCAAACTTGTGTTTGTTTTTCTCCTGTTAATCTGTCTCTTATTACAGGAATGTCTCAGCCAAGAACCCAGAAGGGTAGAGGGAAAATTATTTTTCCTCCCGTACAGAGCTCTAGGCTGTACTATAAGCTATACTAACCCTAGGTGAGTAGTAGGCTGTACCATATAGGTTTGTGTAAGTACATTCTATGATGTTCCTACAACAACGAATCTAACAACGCATTTCTCAGAATGTATCCCTGTTAAGCGGCACATGACTAAACCTAGTTTCCTCAGTTTCCCTGTGGAGCAAAAGCGTCATTGGCCTCTTGCTTTTCATAGGCTATCTGCCTTTCTCAGGGGAGTTCTTTCTTAGAGGGGAGGATTGGCTGGAGGGAAAGGACATGCAGAGGAGGACAGAAATCCTAATAATGTTAATAACAAGTACCTTTCATTGAGTGCTTATGTGCCAAGCACTAATCTAAGTTTTTATCACATTATCTCATTTAGTCTCAACAGGTAAGTACAGTATGAGCCCCATTTTACAGATGAGGAAACTAAGGCAAGTGAACTTTAGTTACTTGCCCAAATTCATACAGCTAAAAAAAATAGGATCTCAGCCAGGATTCTGAGATCCAAAGCCAGGTTTTCTGATTCTAACACTGGCTTGTGCCTCTTAATTATCGTGAAAGAGGAAGGAGAGGAGTCATGTGTTGAGACCCCTCCCCCACTCAGTAATGTCAGGCACTGGGATCTAATCAGTTATATATGTTACCTCATAACATTTTCTTTTTTTTTATTGAGTTTTTTTGAGAGAAAGGAAGGGGGGAGAGAAACATTGATTCATTCCACTTATTTATGCATTCATTGGTTGCTTCTTGCATGTGCCCTAACCAGAAATCAAACCCACAACCTTGGCATATCAGACAGTGCTCTAACCAACTGAGCTACCTGGCCAGGACCCATAACATTTTCCACAACAGCCCTGAGCGTAGCTTGCTTTCTTCCCGTTTTACAGGTGGGAAAATTGAGGCCCAGAGGCAGCTTGCCCAAGATCACACCCCCAGAGCCATTTGTTCCTCATAGCCCAGAACTCAACTCACAAAGTAATTGAGAAAAGTGGGGAATGATTCCAGATTCTAGAAGTCAAGGCTTGCTTTATAAACTGAAAGGTCCATCAGGCAATAAAATGGGGGGGGGGCGGGGGCAGTGAAGATCCTCAAACCCCACCCTCACCCCACCCCCACTGCCACCATTGCACACACACTCCTCTTTGGCAGACAGGCAGAATTATGGAGCTCAATGTGCTGTCAGCTGGTTGGCCACTCAGGGGTATAAGGCTCATAAAGTGTAAATGGATTAGCTGGAGTGGAAAGTGGGGAGGGGTAGAAGAAATCATTATTCATTAACTGAAATGCATTTCTCAGATTAGCTAGCCAGTAGTAGGGGAGAGGTCTCCAGTGACATGAGGGAGGACCTACCACCTAAGTGACAATCTATGGCCAGTGGTTGGAAAGGGGGAAACTCTGGTACAGCAAGAGAGGGAGGAAGGCCTCCCAGTTGCTACAGCCAGGGTGTGCCAGGTCCCACCCTCAGAGGCGGGGCCAGGCTAAGCCCCGCCGGCCTCAGTTCCATTCCTCTGGAACCCAGGCAGGGGCAGAGTCTGGGCCGCCAAGAGCCTGGGGCCCTGCTGTCACACAGAGTAAAGGCACCATGCTCTCCCAGGCCAGGACATCCAGAAGCCCTGCAGGGCTGGCTGCAGCAGCTCCCTGACACTCAGAGGAAAGCCCAGGCCGGGCAAGCAACACCTGTCTCCAACTGCCATGTGAGTAGCTACACCCCTCCCCACCCGGAGACCTCAGCCCAGATCCTGAGAGGCCATTGCCACCAGAGCCACTGGGGTCATACTACCCACACACCACTGGGAAGTCGCCCCTGCCTTTCTTGTGCTCTGGTGGAGGTGGGGTAGGGGACTCACTCCAGGGGAGTGCTGGAGCTCCAGCCCAGAATACAGAGGTCAGGTCTGAAGGAACCATGAGGTCTTGTGGGGTTTAATAAAGTTGACTACCAGGGACAAAGGGGAACAGAAACTGGAGGGCTGCTAAGAAGGAAAGATGTCCTGAGAGGGGAGGCACTGGGGAAGATTGAGGAAGAGAAAACGGGGGAGGGGGAAAGGGTGCAGCAGCTTGGAGGTTGAGCTTGGGGGTCCTGGGGGGAGTTGACGGGGCAGCTTGTCCCGAGCTCAGGGTGGCTGTGGGCCCTCTGATCCTCCCACCTGGGGGAGGGGGCAGTAGGAATCTTTTCCTTATTGACTTTAATCCTGGCAACAGCAGCTGCTCCACTGTTGACAAAAGCAGGAGTTCCCATAGGGTCCAGGACCCCTCCCCGTTCCCTGATGTGGCAGTGGGGCCAGGGCACTGGAGGACTGAGAACAAGGAGCCAAGTGAAGGAAAGGACAGGGACAGATCAGAGTCACAGAGAGGCCAGGCCCTGACCAGCAGCTCTTCTTCCCTCTCCTCTGGGGCCAGCTTCAGCCCTAGGGTATAGAGGGGTGTCCTCCTTGCTGCTGGCATCTCCACATTCACTGCCAATCCCTCCACCACACCCCCCGCCCCCAGCAACTCCTCTCTCTCCTCCAGTTCCCAGGAAGGGACCTGTTGCTAGTGTGGTGTGGATGAGTCAAGTTTATGGGCTGGAAATCCTACCCAGAGGCTGCTCACTGATCTGTAACCAACTGGCCACAAGGGTGGATGGGGGAAGGGGGTGCAAGGGACAGGGCATCCCGCTTGCTGCCACCCTTGCCCTGGCCTCATCACTAACTCTAATGCTCAGTAAGCCCTGCCTCTGCCTCACTCTAACCCCCAATCCTTAATGCTCTGGTACCAACCAGGCTTTGAGCATCTGAAGACAGGGACCCCTCTCCTTCATCTCAGCATCCACTCCTAGCACCTGGTCCCAGCCCCAAAGAGGCTGTCAACTTTTGCTGGCCAGAGGACCACTACACACCAGCCGTTTCCTGTCCTCCCTTTGGCTTAGAGGCCTCGCAAGGTGGAGGCAGGGATGGACAAGATGCTTTCGGGCTGGATGGGTCCACCTTTCAGTCCAAACAGGCATAAACACAGCTGCTCAAGGGGGACCAAGCAGGTATTGGAAATGGGTGAAGCGGCCTGTGAGCGCCTGTCTGAAGGGAGCCACCACTCCACTCCACTTGGTTGCTACCATATAGGACATGTGTTACCACAACTGATTTCTTAAGAGAAGTAAAAAAATAGAAATTTTAATGTAAATTTTAATTGGCCATTAATTGGGGGGAAAAAAGTATATATAGCCTACAGTGCATTGGGCTGCAACCTCTAGATTAATGTGCATCCCCCGAGGACAGTGACCTGCAGCCCCACCCTAACTCTGGCCACCCCGTCCTCTGTCCAGGCATGCCAGCCGTTGCTCCAGGTCTCCCCCGTCCCCGGGCCCAAGATGACACCCAACAGCACCAGGGAGGTGGCCAGCACTGTTCCTGTGGGGGCCTTTGGGCTCTCCCTGGTCCTGGCAAGCCTCATCGTCGTGGCCAACCTGCTCCTGGCCCTGGGCATTGCTGGGGACCGGCGCCTGCGCAGCCTGCCTGCTGGCTGCTTCTTCCTGAGCCTGCTGCTCGCTGGGCTGCTCACAGGGCTGGCACTGCCCACACTGCCAGGCCTGTGGAGCCAGAGCCGCCGAGGCTACTGGTCCTGTCTCTTCCTCTACTTAGCTCCCAACTTCTCCTTCCTCTCCCTGCTTGCCAACCTGCTGCTGGTGCATGGGGAGCGCTACATGGCAGTGCTGCGGCCTCTCCGGACTCCTGGGAGCACTCGGCTGGCCCTGTTCCTCACCTGGGCCGGCCCCCTGCTCTTCACCAGCCTGCCTGCTCTGGGGTGGAACCACTGGGCTCCTGGTGCCAACTGCAGCTCCCAGACTGTCTTCCCAGCCCCCTACCTCTACCTTGAAGTCTATGGGCTGCTGCTGCCTGCCGTGGGTGCTGCAGCCCTTCTGTCTGTCCGTGTATTGCTCACTGCCCACCGCCAGCTGCAGGACATCCGCCGGCTGGAGCGGGCAGTGCGCAGAGGGGCGCCCTCAGCCCTGGCCCGGGCCCTTACCTGGAGGCAAGCGAGGGCGCAGGCTGGAGCCACACTGCTCTTCGGGCTATGCTGGGGACCCTACGTGGCTACCCTGCTCCTCTCGGTGCTGGCCTATGAGCAGCGCCCACCACTGGGGCCTGGAACTCTGTTGTCCCTTGTTTCACTGGGCAGTGCCAGTGCAGCAGCCGTGCCTGTGGCCATGGGGCTGGGTGACCAGCGCTACACAGCTCCCTGGAGGGCGGCTGCCCGAAGGTGGCTACAGGTGCTGCGAGGAAGAGCCTCCCGGGGCCGTCCTGGCCCCAGCACTGCCTACCGCACCAGCAGCCAAAGCAGCATGGACCTGGACTTGAACTAGGGGAAGAGCCTCTGCTCACTCCTCCTAGAAGCATCCATCTCAGCTACCAGGCTTGTCCGTGTCCGCACACCTCTGGATCAGAGACCCCGACCCTTTTTACCACACCCTGGTAAAATAAAGCTCCTCTGGCGCAGTTTATTAGCATCTCATTCCATATTGCAGAAAGGGAGAGGCAGGTGGAGCAGCTGTGGAAAGAACCTAAAGCCAGACGGACAGCAAGGGAGATTCCAACTCTGGACAAAGCAGCAATTCTAGGTGAGGTGGTACCACTGGCAGAGGGCGGGCTGAGTGCCGAAGTCCAGCAGATGTGGGGAGGTCTCACCCTGATATGCCCCTCACTGTTCTTCCTCAGGCCCAGCCACCACAAAATCCACAGACATTGTCTCTGGGAAGTATATTTTATTTACATTTTTAAAATCTGTAACTAATCTCTCTTCCTCCTTTCCACCCCCAGAGACTTGGGAAGGGAAAGAACGGGCACCTCAAACACCTACTCCCCACATACAAATAGGCACCCCAAGACTCACACCCACAAATGAAAGTGAAAGAGAAAGAGGTCTGAACCTCCCTCTGAGGGACCCCCCCAGGTCTGGGGGAGGGAGGAGGGACCCTAGGGGTGGGTCTCTTAAGAGAAGAAAGGGACAGAGGGGGGCAAGTCGGTGTGAAGGGGTTGGAAAGTAGTCCGAGGCCCCTCCCATCTTCTTCCCTCGTACCCTCCTGCCTCTGCTGGTGAGGGGTCTCCCTTCACCTCAACACCAGACACAAAGCAGAGGCTACAGCCACTAGCGGTCAGGTCTCTGGACACAAAATACTTTTGCTTTGTGGTCTCCTGATGTGGTCACCACCAGGGAGGCATCTCTGTGGACAGAAAGCATGGGTTGAAGGGACGGGGTCCTTGGGGCCGGCCCAAGCCCACGATCCAGGGGCCCCTGGGTGGCCACCTCCAGCACCCTAATTCTACACCCTCAGTGCCTAGCACTGGGCTGACATGCCCATGTCGAGTGAGCCCACTTGACGCCAGCAATCAAATAAGCAAGGGAATGAGAGGAGAGCCACGGCACAGGGGAAGTAGTCCCAGCCCCTCAGCCCCAGGACTGACGTGAGACCCTGCAAGTCACTGTCAACCAGAAGTAGCGACTCCCTCAGGCTTCCCAGCATGCCTGCCTCACAAGCCACAACCAGGCCTGGGGTCCCCCAGCTTCCCTCAGGAATCCCCTCCCAGACCCCTGGGTCCCTGTGGCCCTCCACATGCTAGTCCCACCTTCCAGATACAGAGACCCCCCAGCCCTTTCCCAATTCACTTACTTGCTGAGGGCAAAGTCCAGGATCTCAGCTGTGTGACCCCGGTAGTCAGTGAGCAGACGGCCAGTCCGAGCGTCCCAGAGGCGCACGATGCCATCCAGGCTGCAAGTGTAAACCACGGCGGTGCCTGCCTCCCACAGCAGCTGCACGATACCCGACTGCACCAGGGTGTGACAGAGGCAAGGTGGAGGTCAGGGGCAGAGAGGTGAGAGGCATTTGCTCCCAACTCTCATGGAGAGAGGGAGGGAGGGTG